ACAGAATTTTAGTAATCAATTTTTTGTTTCCTGAATGGATAATCAGTTATCTTAGTACCTGTTCTCCTGATCTGAAATGCCATTTTTGCTATAAATTCGTATGTTAAATATGTGAATGTGTGTGTGCACACACACACACGCACACACAGTTTCTCCCTTTATTTGTTTGTCTATTCCTATACAAAGAATTTATCATTTAAATTACTCTCCCTTTGTCATGTTTTGGTTATGTGGAAAGGCAGTCCCCTTGTTCTTCCTTTTCAAAATCTGCCCAGCTCTGTATATTTTCTCTTTCAGATGAAATTTACAGTCTGTCCAATTCCACAGGTAAAACCCTGCAGGAGACTCCCACTACTGCCCAAGACAGAATAACAGACAAGAGACGAGATCTACCCTCTTACCTAAAACTACTACCACACAACCCAAACAAAACATATGAAACAAGTTTCACTGAACATCAAGAAATGAAAGATAGCAACCTGCGAGATACAGGAAACAAATTAAGCAAGCCCTAAAACTGCCCTAGTTTATTGCCTAGAGCACTTTCAGGCAGTAGGACAAGTTGGAGGAACAAAAGCAGAGCCAGAAAAGACTTGTTGATCAAGAAGATGAGCGGAGAGTCCAAGGAACCCAAGCTTGCTGCAGCTCACAGGACAGAGTATCAAAGAGTACAGAGCTGCACAGGGGAGCCCCTCAAGTATTTAGCAGAATACACATCAGCTCATGCATGTGAAGAAACCCCCCAAGGCCATGGCGAGAACCATTCAAGAGAACTAGAAGGAACAGGGTTCAGCACTCAGACACGGTCAGGACCAGTGTTTACTCCCTTTAGCCTGACTGAAAACCTCAGAATTCATGAAGTACTGGGCTGAACACTCAGGAAGGTACTGCCGCAGTGGTGAGGAATAATTACTCCTGGAATAAGCACACCTCCAGATCCATCTAACAAATTATAAAAGCAAGTCCCAGAAGTACCAAACTGTTCAAAGTAACAACCACATCCCAAAATAAAGCTCAAGATTTGCAGGAATATGAAAAGTTCCCAACAAGGTAAAAATCACAATGTCTGGTATCCAACAAGGACCAGTCACTCAAAAGGCAGGAAAACCAACTTAAAAAATAACTGAACAACCAAAATCAATCCAAACTGACACAGAGGTTAGAATTAGCAGAGAAGGACATGAAACCAATTATTATTACTACATTTCATATGCTCAAAGAGTTAACACAGATATAAAAATTTTAAAAAGACCCAAGTCAAATTTCTAGACATAAAAACAAGAAAAGGGGGTTTGCTTATGATTGTCACATCTTTTGGTATATTTGTTATCCTTCCTTAAAAACAACTACCTCAAGGGACCTCCCTGGTAGTCCAGTGGTTAAGACTCCAGGCTTCCAACATAAGGGGCATGAGTTCAATCCCTGGTCAGGGAGCTAAGATCTCACATGGCACAGCCAAAAAACAAAACACTACATAAAAACAGAAAGTGATTTAAAATTCTCCAATAGAAACAAAGAGAAAGGACTGACATAGGACACTTGGAGCTCCAACACTGGTAATTCTTAAAAACAGTGGTTTGTTGTATTAGTATACTTTAAAATATATATTTGTTACATATGTGCTTCTGGACACATCATAACACTTTAGGATTTTTAGAAAGAAAAAAATTCCTATATACCAACATGTCAACAGTAGCTTGTCAGTGGATGGCTGGATTGAAGACTATTTTATTTTCATTCTTTCTGCTTTCCTGTATTATCCAATTCTTAAGCCTATACTGATTTTATCAAAACTTTTGATAATTTTTTCAACTAATTTTCAAAAAGGAAAAATCTACCCTAATTTTCTACCTTAGCTTCCTATAAGCCACTTCATATAAAAGCATAATTTCTACCCCAAATTTAAAATTTAAATAGCCACACAATTGTTGATCAGCTAGTTAAAATGATGAAGGCATGAAGAAACTTTTTAGGGCAATAGAAAGTTTTTTTTAACCTTGATTTGTGATGATGGTAACACAGTAGATATATTTGTCAAAAGTTACTGAACATTTAAAATTAATGCACCCCTTAAGAGGTAATTCTGAAAGTCCTCTGTCCATGGAATTCTTCAGGCAAGAATAGTCATGTGGGTAGTAGCCATTCCCTGATGTAATTATACTCCAATAATGTGATTTTTAAAACTATTACTGCTAAGATATATTAGAAATAATTTAAAAAGAACATTTTACATACAGTACCTACAAATTCCACAGTTTTCACAATGATACTGTTTCTTGTCTTTGTCAAACAGATGGCATACACTGCAATAATATTCTCCAAACAACGTGCTACATTCCTCACATGTCTGTTGTGCCTAAAAAACAAAAAGTAACTAAAAATATACAACTTACCAAAACATCTTGAATTACTAATTTAAATGTCCAGATTTTTTCCTAATGTACATGCGGTTTTACATGTTTTCATACAGAGCTAAAGTTGTATTTGCAATATTCTTGATTAAATTTTTAAAACCACCTTAGTACACATTTTAAAAAAATAGAAATATGTAATAAAATCTTACACGCTGAATTTTTTCACAGTTTATGCACTGCACTTCCTTTACTTTAAAGCGATCTAGCTGATGATCTTCATTGTTATCATGACACAATCGGCAAGTATAAAGCTTGTCACAGCAAGGTGCCTAATTCCCAGGTGAGAAAAAAAAAAGGTATAAGAAGCAAGACAAGGCAAGTTTGAAATAATGCAAAAAGAAATTTCTTCCCTTCTCCTCCTCCTGGAACAAGGTCAAAGATTACAACCAATGGATCATTTGGTAAGCTGATAACTATACAAAACATTTCACTGTTTTCCCATCAACATCTAGGTATCTACCCAGTTGAACACAACCTTGCAGTTCAAACAGAAGAATTATGAAAGATGGCCATCCCTAAACTGAAAAGTTAATCCCACAATACCCTAAACTCATTCTCAACATTAAGTAGCAGGCAGGCAATTTCTACTTAAGACATTCCAGATAAATTCATTTACCAACTTTAATGCTGAAGAATTAAATACTATAATGATTATATTTTAGTCCACTTAAGTTTACCACACATCAACTCTGTGTCTTAAAGTTTGGAGGACACAATAAACGTAAAAGACAGTCCTTGTTTTCAAGACCGGCAAAGACTGCAAGTTGTTCAAGACAAGAAAGTCGACTCTCTCCTTCCAGGACACATGACTGCCCAGCTACACTACTGTTTTCGTGCTGTTACTTGTGGCCAAATGACTTAAGTTCTTAGCAACAGAATATGCACAAAATAAAATCAGTGCCTCTCCTGGGCCTACTAGGCTTGCCTCTTCCCCCAAGCTCCCTTCCCCCTTTCCACCAGATGAAACGTGGACATGGCAGCAACCCAGCTGATGACTATATGCCCTAAAACATGGTTAACAACACAATAGAGAACATTTGTCCAAGGAGTGGTCATGTGAAACTGCCTCATTACCAAACCAGATCATTCATTCAGCTTGAATTGTGAGGTGAGAAGAAATAAACTTTTTATTCTTTAACTCACATTATTACTGGGTCTTTTTGTTACAGCAACTTAGCTTTACCCTAACTAGTACATCAAAATGCCTCTAGGCCAGTAAGCTAACCTTATATTATACTTTCCAGTACACTGTGAACTTTAAGACCCACTCATTTCTGAAGACTTCCTATGCTATGACTTACCATAACATAGTTCATTCCTTCCGCTTACGTTTTTTGCCTGGCAGGCTTAGGCATACTCAGGCTAAATGAAGCTGGCAAGCTGTAAAACTTATTACTACAGGAGATGAAAGCGTATTCCGAGTCTCCACTCGCTTACCCGCCTACCATTATTTCATCACACACCTGAAAATGATCCTGGGAAAAGCCAGCACAGGCCCGGGGTTGCCTCTGTCTACTTCCAACACCGAAAGACTAAATAAATGAACCCCCTGATAAGGTAACCGATGTGCAAGGCCAGGTTTTTGCCAAGCAAGAACTTTGCTTGCAAACTTACAACACAAAGGTAGGACCAGTGGTCGCCTTGACAAAACACGCTCTTTACGGCAAGAAGCCAATCAGAGGTGAAGTTATCCTGACAACAGCTTAGCCCGACAAGAAACTTAAGCCCAAGCTTCACCTCCCGGCCCACTCCACCCCCAGCCCGGCGGAAGCTCTTAAGAGCCCAGTGAAATCGTCACCTTCAGGAGACATCCCCTGTCATAGTGCTCGCAGCCCCGCCGCCTTTGGACTTGCCCGCGGGCGCCATCTTCCCGCGCCGAGGACGCCATCGCCTCCACCTCCCCTCAAACTCCACGACCCCTTCCCCCAGGCCAAAAGCTACACCCAGAGAAGCAGCGCCGCTCTAGCCCGCCCTGTCCCAGGTGCTGCGGCCCCCGGAGCCAAGATGGCGGCAGGGCACGTGACCCGGGGCAGCCGGATTTCCGGCACCCGGGACCACGGGGCGGAAGCGAAAGGAGGCGCAGTCTCCGTTGTCGTCGTTAGCTGCTGCCTTCACCTCTAACGGTAATAATTCTTAGGTTGCCTCCCCTTTTCCCCCCATCGCTACCCGCCCACACCCTGGGGGCGGTTCGGGGCGAGGAGGACCGCAGCGGCGCGGAGACGTCCGGTGACCCCTGGGGAAGGGCCGCTTTCGGCGGCCGCAGCGACACCTGTGACAGTGAGGCCCCTCCCTCCCCCGGCAGCGGCCGTAGCCTTGAGAAAGGGGCGGAGCTCCTGCCTGGCCTCCCGGCTGGGAGCGAATCCTGGCGCGCTCGGCGACGGCCCAGCAGCCAGCCGCTCGTCAGCGACCCGAATGCCTTTTTGTCCCCTTCTTCATTACTTCCTCTTCATTCCTTCAGTAGAATATTAACACTATGTGCCAGTCATCAGCTACGCCATGGGAACGAAAGTGACCAAAAACAGTTCTGGGAACTCAGACTGGTGAAGGAGAAAGAGTCCACAGACACCCTGAAATAAATGTAGGTTTACAGCTTGGAGAAGTGCTAGGAAGGGGAAGTGTGTGTTGCCTGAGAGCTAGTACTAGAGGGAATCTGACTTAATCGGGTGTCAAGGAAGGTTCCCCTGAGGAAGCAACGCTTGAGCTGAGAGCGCAGAAGGAGCGTTCTAGGAGGCGTCAGGGTGCCAAGATCTGGTGATGGAGGGAACGCGCGCCTGTAAGAAGCGGTGGGAGGGAAATGTACCCGCCCCCGAAACTGACCTAAGGCCTAGCTGAATATGACCCGCCTTAAGTTAAAGAGCCAAACCCCTAGAAAATTTTATGAGCAGAGCTGCGGGTTTTGAAAGAAAATATTTGCCTTTGGCTTTCTAACCTCATGTAATGTTACGTAGAACGTTCTGGGAAAGGTAAATATGTACCCCTTAGCTTTGAAGTTACTGACGCTTGCCCCCTTAATTTTCTTTCAGTTCTGGGATGAGTTGCTGAAACCATGGTGAAATGTTGCTCGGCCGTTGGATGTGCCTCTCGCTGTTTACCGAATTCCAAGTTAAAAGGACTGACATTTCACGTGTAAGAGTCAGCTGTAGTTAAGCTAAGTACTTTTGACTGTTAAAAGAAGCAAAAGACAGGTCTACTTAAATCTGTAATTTTGCAACCAGTGGCTCTACCCCTGAGCTATACCTCCTAGATCTTCAATTTTGAACTTTAGTTAACTTCTTTTTTAATAACCTTTTTACTTGAATTTGAAGTGACAATAATAATTTTACATTTTTATAATTAGTGCAGAAGCTTAAGATACCTGCAAAGGTACAGACTGATTAACAAAAATATCATCAAACCTTTTTGCTAATAGTACTATTTTGCATTTTAACATACCTTCAAAGAAATTGTGTTGTTTACATGTAGTTTACAATCCAAATCAAGGATCTTTGCTCAAATATATTCTGTCCTTTAGAAATAAATCAACCTTATGTTTATGTTGATGTTTAAAAATAGATCAGGCTTATGTTACAGAGGAAAAGGTATAAATTACAACTTCAGACCAAGTTTAGCTGTACTGCAGATAAATTAAGATGGTCCTAATTTAGTATTTTAGTCATTCTCCTGACAGTATAGGAAAGAAGGAGCAATAAAGTTTAATAATTATTCATTTGCTGAAGTTTTATTTTGTTGCTTTTGTGCCAGGCATTGTGCTGTGTGCCAGAGAAAGCATCTGCTAACTACTTTGCTAAGTATAAGGAAATAAAAAATGAACACATGTACCCCACTTTATTCCAAAAAGGACTTGAGCCAGCTGGGAAAATTGGAAAAGATATGGCTATTAACCTCCAGATCTCAAAATCGTTCTGATCTCCAAAATTCCAAACTCCGCAGGTGTTCTCTGCATTCATTCACTAAGCATTTATACTCTTGTTTTGTATTAAATGTTGTACTAAACTACTTTTTGATGCTGATAGAAGAATGGAACTATGAGTGTCTCTGTTCATCTGGGATAAATTCATCAGATAGGAAAAGGCCCAAGTGATATTCTTCATCATCTATAGATGAGGAAAAACCTTCAGTTGTGAATTTTACTCTAAGGTATTAAATGCCTTTGGAAGCTCTTCTTCTTTATAATATGAGAGAGAATTAAATGAGGGCTATTTGCCTGCAGCATTTTGGTACAGAAATCTGAGTATTAAAACTGAAAGTTATAAAGCCATAAATCGCAGTGGTTTCCTAAATATTCCAGTTCCCAAGAGTAATAACAAACCAGTTAATCAATTTAGGCACAGCCTTTTAATTCAGGTATATGTGTTTAATTTTAAAATACTGTATGTATTTTTTTCTAGATTCCCCACAGATGAAAATATCAAAAGAAAATGGGTATTAGCAGTGAAAAGACGTGATGTGAATGCTGCAGGCATTTGGGAGCCTAAAAAAGGAGATGTGCTGTGTTCAAGACACTTTAAGAAGACAGATTTTGACAGAAGTGCTCCAAATATTAAACTGAAACCTGGAGTCATACCTTCTATTTTTGATTCCATATCTCGCTTACAGGTTTGTTTATCAGATGCTGCTTACCATCATTACTCACTTTTTATGGACTATTTAAGAACCTTCACCACACTTGCTGCCATTTTTTACTGTTTGCTTATTAATTTGAAAACCATTCTTTTTTAAGTTTTTTTAGATGTGTAAACTGCTGTGTAAGCTTTTTTAATGAATAGTAAGAGTGTTTTACCAATAGCCCCTCAGAAATGTTAATATCTGAACCTTACTAAGGTTTGGTGAAGCAAACTTGAGTTAGTATAGCTCAAGATTTGGGTCTAAAATTTTGAGGAATGTTAGAGTTGAACTGAAGTTCCAAGCTGGCAGTGCTCCTCACACTGGAGCAGAAGTCAAGAGCAGAGCCTCAATAGACACAGAGTATACTTTGAGAGCCACATACATTCACACTTAAAGCCTAGGTAGAACTGGAAGGTAGAAAACCAAAAATTAAGAAGAGAAAGAAGAGGTCAAAAAAATAAAAGGGTTGTTTAAGGAAACTCTAGTTGTATTCTGTGGCTTTTCTCAATGATTTTAGTGCCACCGATGAGCTGCTTCACCCGCAGTATCTCTCTTGACTTCATATGCCTGAACATGTACTCACTTGCAGAAGCTCTAGAGATTGACTGATTCCAATGTGGAAAATTCAGGGAGAGCCTGTGGGTTCCCACACCAGTAGGAATGAACCTCCATTGAAAGATATCTCCTTCCTGACAGCTGGAAACAGAAGAGGTAGTTCAGAAGATGTCTACTCCCATAGGGTCTTTGGTCACATTTGCAGATGTCCGTATCTCAGTACTTGAGTTATAAAGTGGAAACTGACTCAGTTTTTTCCATATTAATAAATGTACAGTATCTTCTGCAATTTGCTCTAAAGGGTTTATTTCCTATACCATGGTGTCATCTGTAATGTTAAGCAGACCTTAAGAAATATGGACATAATAAGTCAAATAATAAATTACTAACTTCCAAAAGTTATTTTGTAATAACAAGGAAATCACAGAATCCAGAAGTAACACTGTTAACACTCTATGTGGATCTTTTCTATCATTTGTATGTGTATATTTATATATAAATTCATCTATATTTATATATTCTTACAGAACAGAATTATATATCCTTTTTATTATTTGCTTTGCTCTTTTTTTTTTTTTAACATTCATACAGTGCTTACTGTGTGCCAGGCACTAATCTAAGCACTTTACATATATTTTTACTCTTTTTAGTCCCCCAAACTACCGTAAGAGTTAAATAATCTTATTCTCATTTGACCACTTGAGAAAATTTAGACCCAGAAAGCTGGAATACATTCCCCAAGTCACACTGCTGTTAAATGGCAGAGGCTGGATTTAAACCTAGGTATTTTAGCTCCAAAGTTCACTCTTAACTATTATAATATTTTCCATGATGTTAAATATTTTTCTACAACAATGGCTTTCAAATTTAGTCTACCTAAATATTATCCAGGGAGCTTGGCTTAAAATGCAGAATCCTAACCCCTTCTCCCAAAAAATTTGATTCAGCAAGTTAGCTTTGGAGTCTAGGATCTGCATTTTCTAATAGGCACCCTGCATGATTGTGTTGCAGCTCAATGGATCACATTTTTAAGAGAAACCTATATGGAACATCAGGTTTTTTTTAACTAAACTTTATACTGAAGTCAACATACATATAACAAATGCACACATAAGTGTATAGACCATTGGACTTTCATAAAGTGAATATACTCATATAACTCCTCTCAGACCAAGATGGAGAAAGTTATCAATGCCCCAGAAGCTTCCCTCATGCTCTTTCCCAGTCCCTACACCCTCGAAAGTACCACTATCCTGACTTTTATCCCTGTCAGTTGTTGTAAATGGAGTCATATAGTACATACTCTGTACTGTGGCTGCTTTCCCTCAACATTTTGTTCTTGTGATTCATCCACATCGCAGCATGTGGTACTAGTCCATGTATTTTCTTTGCACTATAATATTTTATTGCATCTGTTGTTGTTCAGTGCTAAGTCCTGTCCAACTTTTTGTGACCTCATGAACTTCAGTGCACCAGGCTTCCCTGTCCTTCACCATTTCCCAGAGTTTGCTCAAACTCATGTCCATTGAGTTGGTGATGCCATCCAATCATCTCATGTTTTGCTGCTCCCTTCTCCTCCTGCCCTCAATCTTTCCCAGAGTGAGTCAGCTCTTCACATCAAGTGGCCAAAGTATTGGAATTTCGGCCTCAGCATCAATCCTTCCAATGCATATTCAGGGTTGATTTACTTTAGAATTGACTAGTTTGATCTCCTTGCAGTCCAAGAGACTCTCAAGAGTCTTCTCTAGCACCACAGTTCAAAAATATCACTTCTTCAGCACATTGTATAAATAAACTATAATTTCTATTCTACTGTTGGTGAACATTGGATTTTCACTTCAGAGCTGTTATGAATGGTACATTTTTGTCCATGCCTTCTGATGCACTTAAATGTACACATTTTTACAGAGTATATGTACATTTCTGTTAGAAATGGAATTGCTGGATCCTAGGATCAGCTTGAGTAGATATCACCATAGTTTTCCAAAGTGGTTTTGCCAACTTATACCCCCACCTTTGGCTTATAAGAGTTCCTATGATTCTATATCCTTCCTCATATTTAGTGATGTCATCCTTACAGAACATTTTTAAAGACCATATAGTGGTTGATCCTATGTGTGGACAATAAATACTTTATGTAATCAATCCTTACTGTTGAATATAGATTATCATCTTTCACTGTTTTAAAAAGCATTATAATGAATATTATTGTAGCTGAATCTATGTACATATCCTTATTTCCCCAAACTAATATCCTGGAAATAAAATAGCTAGATCAAAAATTACACACATTTTAAAGTCATTTTTTGCTTTTGATACAAACCTCTCAAAAGCCCATCATAAAGTTTGTATCAGTCTACTGCCCTACTAATAGTTATGTGTAAAAGTGTTTGTCCATCCTAATCCTCAGTGTAAGTTGTGTTTTTAACCTTTGCTGAAATTGATATGCATAGATGGCATCTTATTCTTTTAATTTATCTTTGAATATTAGTGCATTTATGCATTATTTCCTGTGTTCATTAGACAGTTTTACTACTTCTTTTGTGAATAACTTATTAAAGTCTTCCAGTTTTATCTTTTTCTAAGCTGTTTTGTAACAACAATAGATATTGAGGATATGAATCATTTAACTATGTTGCAGTTACTTTTTGTTCTTTGTCTTTAGTTCTAATTATGGTGTTTGTTTTGTGTGAAATACATTTTTTTAAATAGTCCTATATTTTCTCTTGTGCTGTCTGATTTAAGATTTTATAAATACTTCCCATATATTTTTCTACTTCCTCATTGTTTTCATTCTTACATGAATTTTCATTATATAGAAATTCATTGTGATTTACTGTACATAAAGGATATAACTATTTTTCATAATTAGTTCATTTTTCATGATTTATAGCCTTTATCCACTTACTCAGAATGCCATTTTTTATCCTGAAGGATCTTATCTACATGATCTGTTCATATTTTTCTTAGAGAATAGTCTTCTGACCCAAGGCTAGAACCCATATCTCCTGTGCCTCCAGCTTGGCAGGCAGATTCCTTACCACTGAACCATCTGGGAAGCCAAAAGAACAGAACACTATCTTAAATATTGTTACCTTGTAGGATATTTTTAATACCTTGTAGGATATATCTTCCCTCATTATCATTCTTTTTTTTTTAAGGAAAATTCATGTTTCCAGGTAAACTTTAAAGTTATTTTAGGGAAGTTCCTTTAAAGTAATCTCAGTGAATTTAAATTTTACCGACTTTTAAAAGCAATTTCCATAAAAAAATAATAATTTTGCTACAAAAAGTTAAGAAGGTTAAAAATTTACAAAAGGACAGAAATATCTATAATGATTGATTAACAGTTAACTATTCTTAACAGGGGAAAAGAGAAAAGCTTCCTTGTAGGAGAAACTTCACCCTCAGAGCCCTTCCAGTTACAAACCACAATCCCAAGCTTGTTGATGCTTCCTCGTGTGTTGAAGAATTCCAGTCGCAGTTCATTTTTGTAAGTAAAATTACTTACTGGGCTAATGTTGATATTTTTAAGATGAACATGCCCTCTCCATTAGGATTAAGCTTTTAAAAATCTTACTGAAAAACTGGGAGTTCAGGTTTTTGAGATGTTTTTAATATGTAATAACCAAAAGTAATACTGCTTCCAAGGGCCATTATAATTTATATATACATATTTAATTCAAAGAATGCTTTCAAAAAATATTTCAACCAGTCAGTTCAGTTTAGTTCAGTTGCTCAGTCATGTCTGACTCTGTGACCCCATGGACTGCAACATGCTAGTATGCCTGTCCGTCACAACTCCCAGAGCTTGCTCAAACTCATGTCCTTCAAGTCAGTGATACCATCCAACTGTCTCATCCTCTGTCGTCCCCTTCTCCTCCTGCCTTCAGTCTTTGCCAGCATCAGGGTCTTTTCCAACGAGTCAACTCTTCACATGAGGTGGCCAAAGTATTGGAGTTTCAGCTTCAGCATCAGTCCTTCCAATGAACACCCAGGACTGATCTCCTTTAGGATGGACTGGTTGGATCTCCTTGCAGTCCAAGGGACTCTCAAGAGTCTTCTCCAACACCATAGTTCAAAAGCATCAATTCTTCGGTGCTCAGCTTTCTTTATGGTTCAACTCTCATATCCATACTTGACTACTGGAAAAACCATAGCTTTGACTAGATGGACCTTTGTTGGCAAAGTAATGTCAACCAATAAAACACAATAAATAATTCTTCCCTTTAGGTATTGGTATTGTAGGTTCTATGTGGAAATACCTAATTTTAAAAATAGTTATGTCTTTAGGTTTTCTTGAAGGACTATCATACACACACAGTATTGAAGCTTGCATTTATTTATTCATCTGATTGCTTTTTCATGTTAGAATCAGACCCTGGAATCCAGATCTGTTTTCCTATCTTAATTACTATATATATATATATATAGCTTTATAATAATGCTTAAAATCAGGTAGTGGTTATCAGTGTTAAATCTTCCAACTTTGTTCTTATTCAAAGTTGTTTTGGATAGTCTTGGTCCTTTGCATTTTTGTATGAATTTTAGAATCACTTTTGATAAATTTCTACAAAATTCCCGCTAGAGTTTTGACTGGGATTCTGTTGAATCTACAGATCCATTTGAGAAGAATTGACATCTTAATAAGATTATTTTAAGTCTTCCAGCTCATCACTTCACATATTTAAACTTTTAAATTTTCTTAGCAGGGTTTTTGTCATTTTCAGTGTCAGTCTTTCATTTCTTTTTTCAGATTTATCCCTAAGTATTTTGTATGTTTGGATGCTATTATAAATGACATTGTTTTAATTACTGTTAGTATATGGAAATAAATTGACCTTTGTATATGAATCTTGTATCTGTCAAACTTGCTTAACTCACATGTTAATTATGAAACCTTTTTCATAAAGACTGTCAGGTTTTCTACAAAAATAATCATGATGTCTGTCATTAAAGACAGTTTTAATTCTTTTCCAATGTAAATACCTTTCATCTCTTTTTCTTGCTTTATTGCACTACCTTGAACCTCTAAGGGTATACTGAATAGAAGTACTGAGAGCTGATCATTATGCATTGCTCCCGATTTTAGGAGGAAGGCATCAGTCTTTCACCATTGAAGATATTTATATGATGTTAACTGTGGATTTTTCATAATTGCCCTTTATCAGACTGAGGAAGTACCTTTCTATTTTATTCTTTCAGTTTTATTGAGATATAATTGACATACACCACTGTATAAGTTTAAAGTGTACAGTAATAATATAATTAACATTCATCATGAAGTGATCATCACAGTAAGTGTAGATGAACATCTATCTTCTCATATAAGCAAAACTAAGAATTAGAAAAAACTTACAACATGTGAGTTGAAAAATATATTGGAGAGAATTAATGGCATGTTTGAAGGCGGGAGGAAAAGGGGACAACAGAGGATGAGATGGTTGGATGGCATCACCGACTCAATGGACATGAGTTTGAGTAAACTTTGGGAGTTGGTGACAGACAGGGAGGCCTGGGGTGCTGCAGTCCATGGGGTTGCAAAGAGTCGGACACAACTGAGTGACTGAACTGAACTGAATGGCATGTTAGATATTTCAGAAGAAAAGATTAGTGAAGGTGAAGATATAGCAATGGGACTATCCAGAATGGAATACAGAGAGAAAAGGGAATATTTAAAAAAATGAAAAATATGAACAGAGCATCATTGAGAAGTGGTACAACTTCAGATAGCCCAATATACATGCAATTAGACTCTCCAAAGGAAAAGGAAGAAAAGTTGAAAGAGAGGGGAATATTTGAAGAAATCATGGCCAAAATTTTTCCAGGTTTGATAAAAAACTATAAACCCACAGATAAAAAGCTCAGCAATCCCAAGCACAAGAAACATGAAGAAAGCTAAACTAGGCTACATTGTAATCAAATTATTCAAAACCATTGGAAAAGAAAATACTTATGTCTTGATCAATTAACCCCTTTATTATTAAGAAATGGCCTTCTTTATGCCTGGTAATATTCTTTGCTCTGAAATCTTGTCTGATAGTAATATACCCACCATCAGTCAGTTCAGTCTCTCAGTCATGTCCAACTCTTTGCGACCCCATGAATCGCAGGACGTCAGGCCTCCCTGTCCATCACCAACTCCCAGAGTTTACTCAAACTCATGCCCATCGAGTCAGTGATGCCATCCAACGATCTCATCCCCTACTCCTCCTGACCCCAATTCCTCCCAGCATCAGGGTCTTTTCCAGTGAGTCAACTCTTCGCATGAGGTGGCCAAAGTACTGGAGTTTCAGCTTCAGCATCAGTCCTCCCAATGAACACCCAGGACTGATCTCCTTTAGGATGGACTGGTTGGATCTCCTTGCAGTCCAAGGGACTCTCAAGAGTCTTCTCCAACACCACAGTTCAAAAGCATCAATTTTTCGGCGCTCAGCTTTCTTCACAGTCCAACTCTCACATCCATACATGACCACTGGAAAAACCATAGCCTTGACTAGACGGACCTTTGTTGGCAAAGTAATGTCTCTGCTTTTTAATATGCTATCTAGGTTGGTCATAACTTTCCTTCCAAGGAGTAAGCGTCTTTTAATTTCATGGCTGCAGTCACCATCTGCAGTGATTTTGGAGCCCAAAAAAATAAAGTCTGACACTGTTTCCACTGTCTCCCCATCTATTTCCCATGAAGTGATGGGACCAGATGCCATGATCTTAGTTTTCTGAATGTTGAGCTTTAAGCCAACTTTTTCACTGTCCTCTTTCACATTCATCAAGAGGCTTTTTAGTTCCTCTTCACTTTCTGCCGTAAAGGTGGTGTCATCTGCATATCTGAGGTTATTGATATTTCTCCCGTCAATCTTGATTCCAGCTTGTGCTTCTTCCAGCCCAGTGTTTCTCGTGATGTACTCTGCATATACCTTAGTTCTCTGTTATTAGTGTAATCCTAGTTGAAACCTTTAGTTTCAACCTATTTCTGTCTTTTTATTTTCAAAGTGTGTTTTTTCTTGGCAGCATGTACTTTTGGGTCTTGATTTTTTAATATAACTTTGTTATTTATGATCACTGATCTTTTCTATATATAATTTCTGCCTTTTATTTGGATTATTTAAACTATAATAATAATCTAATGTGATTATCATTACTTTATATCAAATTATCTAATGGGATATGGTTTGGTTTAAATCTGTCATCATTCTTATTTCCTATTCCATTTATTCTTTGTTCTTTTTTTCTTTTTCTGCCTTTAATTAATTAAATTTCTTTATAATTCCATCTTATCTCCTCTTTTTGATTCATTCACCATAACTCTTTGTTAATTGCTTTTGGGTCTATAGCATCCATGTTTAACTTGCCACAGGCTACATGATAAGTGAAACTATTCCACTTAGTGTATAATATACATGTCTTACCATAGTATACTTTTATTTCTCTTCTCCAGCCTTTTTGCTACAGCTGTCATACATTTCACTGTACATATGCTATGAACCACACATTACATTGATATAATTTTTGTTTAAGCTGTAAATTATCTTTTTAAAAGATTTAAATAATAAGAAAAAAAGGTATATGCTACCCATGTAGTTGCCACTGCAGGGCTTTTCATTCCTTTGTGTAAATCCATATTTCCACCTGGTATCATTCTGTCTGAAGGACTTTAATACTCCTTACAGTGCAGCTATGCAGGTGATAAATTCTTTCAGCTTTTATAAAATCATTACTTAGTCTTCTAAATAGTCATTATTTAGTCTGGAAAAATCTGAACAATCATTATTTAGTCTTCCTTTTTGAAAGATATTGACAAATTCTGGGTTGACAATTTGGGAGTTTGTTGTTTTTAGTTTTTTTAAGATGTTGCTCCACTATATTCTCATTTGCATGCTTGCTAATCAAAAATCTACTCTCATCTTTTTTCTTTGCTAATGGTTTTAAATAATTTGATTATACCATAGTTTAGCTTTGTTCATGTTTCTTATGCTTGGGATTTATTGTTTCTCCATCTGTGAGTTTATAGTTTTTATCAGACTTGGAAAAATTTTGGTCATGATTTCTTCAAATATTTCTTTCTTCCTCAACTTTTCTTCCTTTTCCTTGGGGGAGTCTAATTACATGTATATTGCACTGTCAGAAGTTGTGCCACCTCTCACTCATGCTCTGTTCATTTTTTTGTTTTTTAAATATTCCCTTTTCTCTCTGTAGTCCATTCTGGATCATTCCTATTGCTGTATCTTCACCTTCACCAATCTTCTGAAATTTCTAATCTGCCATTAGTTCTCTTAATATATTTTTCACCTCACACATAGTAATTTTTAAGTCCAGGTGTCCTATTTGATTCTTTTTTTATATCTTTCATGTCTCTGCTTAACTTTCTAACATATACAGTTTTAATAATTTCATTAATATCCTTGTCCACTGATTCTAACATTTGCTAGTTCTGGGTTGGTTTCTGTGGATTGGTTTCTCTGTTATTATGGCTCATATTTTCTGTTGTTTCGCATGCCTGGTAAATTTTCTGTGCCAAATACTGTGGATTTTACTTTACCGGATGCTGGATATTTTTGTGTCCTATATGCTTGAGCTTTGTTATGAGGTGTAGTTATTTGGAAACAATTTGGCTCTTTCAGGTTTTGTGTTTTTTAGGCAGGACCAGAACAGTGCTCTGTCTCAGGCTATTTGTTCTCCTCCACTGAGGCAAGACTCTTCTGTATACTCTTCTGGTACTGGCTGGTGGGAGTAAAATCTGTGAGCTCAGGGTACTCCTGATCTTTTCTGGCCACTCTTTCCTCAAGCCTTGAGCAGTTTCCTACACACACATTCTGATCTTACTCAGGGCAATACTTGATAGGGAGCTTCTGAAGATCTCCAGGTTCTCCTCTCTACTATTGATACCTTGTTCTGTAAACTGTAGCCACCTTGGTCTCCCCAAATACTTTGCACTACCTCCTCAACTCTGTCTAACCAGCTCTGCCTGGGTTTCCTCTCCTGGCACTGAGGCCTAGAACTCTCTCAAGGCAGTAAGTTGGGCATTCATAAGGCTCATCTCTTTGTTTCCCATCTCTCTGCAGTCTCTGCCTTCCTTGCCTGATGTCCTTATGTGCAAAACTTTTTTATACCTTTTGGCTGTGTGTTGAGGTCTTACTGCATCTTCGTCGCCACACACGGGCTTTCTCTAGTTGCAGTGAGCAGGGGCTACTCTTCATTGCAGTGCACTGGCCTCACTGTGGTGGCTTCTCTCTTCTTGCAGAACACAGGCTCTAGGGCACGTGGGCTTCAGTAGTTGCAGCATTCAGACTCAGTAGTTGTGGCTTGCAGGCCCTAGAGTGCAGGCTCGGTGGTTATGACACATGGGCTTAGTTGCTCCACAGCATGCGAACTCTTCCCAGTCTCCTGCCTTAGCAGGCAGATATCCTTTTACCATCAGGGAAGTCCTGGGGTTTTTTGGTCAGTCCAGTCTCTTATTTCATCTTGGCTGAGAGCAAAGTCATTTTCACTAATTTTAAGTAACAGCTTTTCAAAATTATTTTATGTTTATATGTCAGTGGTGGTTTTGAATGAAAAAAGTATACCCAATAAACATACCATAACCAAAATAAATACAGAGCGCTTAAATTATCCCTTTATAAATCCAAGACCAGAGTCCTCTCTAAATCCCTAACACCCAGCCTGAGGACCTGCTTCAGTGCTTTCCTGTCATCCCTTATAAAGTGAAATATTCATCAAATAAAGCAGTTCAGTTAAAAGGTTAAAAATGTAAGTTAACTTAAACTTAGCAGCCCACACTTAGGGACCAAAACTGTTATGGTCATTGTGAGTGTCATGCTGCTTTTTCATAAGCAGACGCCTACCTCCAGGTGAGAAGTGCCTTCCACCTACAGGATTCTGCCCTCCTTGTCTATGCTAGACCTTAGACAAAGATGGGGACTCTAGGTACCTGAAATATCCCTGTCCTCTCCCTGTGGTCTTTGAACCTCTTAGTATCACCAACTTAAAAATGTTCTCTAAGCATAGTATTTGCAGAAATAACTGAGGCCTAGTTATAATTTTTTTTATCTAACTGCTTGTCTGTTTGGTTTAATAACTTGGTTTTTATGTTTTTAGGAACATAGCTACAGTGTGATGGACAGTCCAAAGAAACTTAAGCATAAATTAGATCATGTGATCAGCGAGCTAGAGGATACCAAGAAAAGTCTGCAGAATGTTCTAGACCGAGAAAAACGTTTCCAAAAATCATTGAGGAAGACAATCAGGGAATTAAAGGATGAATGTCTCATCAGTCAAGAAACAGCAAAAAGACTGGAAGCTTTCTGTTGGGACTGGTGTCAAGAGAGCATAGAACAAGACTATATTTCATGAAATAATTTCATGTTATGTTCTACTTAAAATTGGTAAAATTGATCTTGGCTTTTAAGGAAATAATTCTCATTTACCATCATTAAATAATGTCCATCATTCCATCATTTAGAGTGCCCTTTGGGGCTCTGCAGCCTGATGCATTAGAGTTATTATCCAAAGGCTTTTTGTAAAAGATAGGTAAAAGTGTTGTGCTAGTTATCATGTTTTGGAGTAACTTGTGAGAATTATGTTTTTATAGACCTAAACTATATGGGCTTCCCTGCTGGCTCAGAGGTGAAGAATCTACCCGCAGTGCGGGAGACCTGGGTCCAATCCCTGGGTTGGGAAGATCCCCTGGAGAAGGAAATGGCAACCCACTCCAGTATTCTTGCCCAGAAAATTCCATGGACAGAGGAGCCTGGCAGGCTACAGTTCACGGGGTCACAAAGAATCAGACACGGCCAAATGATGAACACTTTTAGACCTAAACTAGTGCCAGGTCACTATTTTAAAATGTTAAGAGATCAAGAAAATTCTGTAGGACTAAGGAAATGATTTTAGATCAGCTACATTAAACTCTAGTAGTCGAAAGTGGACACTTCAGCAGCATCAGATTTTTGGCTTCAGAGGAGTATCTTTGCTTATAACACATGTCCATCTAGAATCCAATTCAAGGTGCTTTTATTATCAATAATACCAAAAGATGTTTTTACAAGGCATCCCATGGTAGTGACCTTGAGAACAACATATGGTGCAGGTCTTTTGGCTTTTAAGGTTCAGAGCCGAGTTAAGAAGACCCCTGATGAGGTCTTATTTTTTCAATATAGTACATCATTTCTCCTCACTAGGAGCACTGTGATGTAAACCAGCATTGCTTTAACAAATATTTAAATAGGATCATAAATCTGATTTTTAAATGGTTACTGACAGTTCTTCTGAACATTTTGTTTCATGACTGTTATTTCATCATAAAGGTATATCTTCAAAATCTGAATGCCAGTAGTAACTGTTTACTTTTAATGCTGTTTTGTATTTTACAGAAAGTAGTATTACTAGCATTTTTTTAAGGTACAAAATACAGAAGAAACCATTAAAAATAATGATGTGGCTCTTCTAGTTAAAATAGGAATTAGAGGGTTATAATGTCTTCCTTTAATTAGGAGACAAGATTACTACCTGAGATTTCATTTAGAGAAATAGATAAGCAACAATTTTAGAATAGCTTCTTACTGAATTTACAGAAAAATAACTTTTAGTTATTTTCTGACTGATCCAAGAATCAGAAATTTAAGTTTATCTCCTGATTTCTTAGTAAAAACAACTGAAATGAGTCATAAATACTGTGGGTTAGAATAAAAAATACTAGCCCCAAAGCAAATTCTACTTTGAAGCATGTATATATACATAAACTCCATTCATATGTCTGTGCTATAATAGTTAGAATTTGAATCAGTTATTTCAATATGTTAACTAGAAATGGACTACATTTTGTGTTAAAATGTTCATTATAATTTTATTTGTGTTATATTAATATTAGTAATGATACGGTCACTTAAATTTTTTATATTCAAGAAATATATAATTCATGTTATATTTTTATGTAAGATTCCAAACCTTCCCACTAAATGGGATTTTACCCACATTTGAAAGATTAGCATTATGCTAAGAAATCACTGAGGTGCTATCTTTTTACTACCTTTAAAGTGTTTAGCTACCCATTATTTATTTGAGTTATTTAATTTTGCATTCATGGTGGACACGCTAATGGAAGTTGGGGTATGATCTTAGGTTTTTAAAGTCAGTGGGCAATGGAGAAAAATAAAAGGATATATCCAAACACTGTGTGTCCAAATTCTAGATGTCTCCTGGCTGCTTAAAATAAATCAAGCCCAGTAGACCTTTCCGAGAGTCGGTTCCCAGTTTCTGCCTCATCACATAGTTACCACAGTCACTTTTACTACTGGTGTTCCGTGTTCACAGTGAGCTAAGAGTTTGTCTTCTTTTTCAGTGGTCATAGTGTCATTGACAAGAGTGAGCTGTGGGCAAAGGATTGGTATCATCAAGAATCCAGAGCTGCCCATTTGCCCCTTATGGAAAAAGGATTACCAGTAGAAATGTGACATAAGAAGTAGAGTCCTCCCCACCTACCATCCAGGCAAATGCCTGAACGTGTACATACCTCAATTCCTATAGCGCAGATGTAAAGAAACTGCCTTCAATGCAGGAGACCTGGGTTCGTTCCCTGGGTCAGGAAGATCCCCTGGAGAAGGAAATGGCAACCCACTCCAGTATTCTTGCTCAGAGAATCCCATGGACAGAGGAGCCTGGTAGGCTGCAGTCCATGAGATTGCGAAGAGTCAGGCACGATTGAGCAACTCACACACACACACACACACACACACTCCAGTATTCTTGCTCAGAGAATCCCATGGGCAGAGGAGCCTGGTGGGCTGCAGTCCATGAGATTGCGAAGAGTCAGGCACGATTGAGCAACACACACACTGTTCCCAGAGATTCCAGCTTAGCCTGAGGACGAGCCGTCACACACACACACAGTTCCAGCTTAGCACACGCGCACATGCACACACACACACACAGAGTTCCAGCTTAGCCTGAGGACGAGCCGTCCTGTGCAAAACAGAAGCAGGCACCGCTCACCCCATCCAGAGGATCCTTAAGCAGCCAAGGTCAACCTAAGCGCTCCACTTTGCTTTCAAGCTTCCAGTAGCCTCTGGATCCTGGAGCAAACCGTTTCACCAGGTCAACCTCAGCACCAAACCAGGTACAATGGACTTGATACAGTGTTTTTCTCATAGCAAGTTCAAACCTCTGGAAATAGACTTTGGTTGCTAAAAGATAATCACAATTACACCATTGTCATTAATTTGAGAAAAGATGAAATTATATGTATTTAGTCAATAAAAAGATAAAAGAGGGTAAAGAATCCATTATGTGTTTGAAAAATAAAATACTTTTTCTAGTAATGTGCTCTATGTGGTTTTTATACACTCAGTTGTTCAATAAAATGAGCTGAGAAAAATCAAGAGTATGTATACAGTGGTATTGCTTTAATTTCGCCTGCATTTTTCTCTCCACCAATAACTGCTGTCTTTTAGAGTCTGCTAGATTAGGTAACCCAGGAGGCAGGCCAGCTTCCACCACAGTATTCATCCGCCATAGACCCCTTTCAGCCCTGTCCTTTCAGTCTCACTGAAAACTGGCAGCCTTCATGTCACCAGTATACAGGCAAGGGTAGTATTCTTAGATTTGAAATGTGCTGCCATCGGAACCTAGAGATGCTTATTAAGCATCGTGCTTCCTTATTCATAGTGGGGGGCTTTCCTGGTGGCTCAGATGGTAAAGCATCTGCCTACAATGCAGGAGACCCGGGTTCAATCCCTGGTTGGGAAGATCTCCTGGAGAAGGAAGTGGCAACCCACTCCAGTATTCTTGGCTGGAAAATCCCATGGATGGAAGAATCTGGTAGGCTGTAGTCCATGGGATTGCAAAGAGTTGGACACGACTGAGCAACTTCATTTCAGTGCCCTGGTGGCTCAGTTGTTAAGGAATCCACCTGCAATGTGGGGGACCTGGGTTAAATTCTGGGTTGGAAAGATCTGGAGAAGGGAACAGCCAGTATTCTTCCCTGGAGAATCCAATGGACAGAGGTTGCAAAGAGGTTGCAAAGTCCATGGGGTTGCAAAGAGTCGGACAAGACTGAGCAACTTACACATTCACATTTCATATTCATAGTGGGAGACAGAAGTTGTACTACTAATTTGTCTTTTACTCGGAAGGGATGGTCTAGCTTGCCCCTGGTCACTGGACTCCCCCCCCGCCTCAAATTTTTCTGGTGTGGTTGCGTTGTCACTAAATCATGTCCGACTCTTTGCAACACCGTGGACTGCAGCATGCTGGGCTTCCCTGTCCATCACCAACTCCCAGAGCTTGCTCAAACTCATGTCCATCAAGTTGGTGATGCCATCCAACCATCTCATCCTCAATCATCCCCTTCTCCTCCTGCCTTCAATCTTTCCCAACATTGGGGTCTTTTCCAATGAGTCAATTCTGAGCATCAGGTGGCCAAAGTATTGGAACTTCAGCTTCAGCATCAGTCCTTCCAATGAATATCCAGGACTGATTTCCTTTAGGATTGACTGGTTTGATATCCTTGCAGTCCAAGGGACTCAAGAGTCTTCTCCAACACCACAGTTCAAAAGCATCAATTTGGCACTTAGCTTTCTTTATGGTCCAACTCTCACATCCATACATGACTACTGAAAAAACCATAGCTTTGTCTGTACTGGCCTTTGTCAGTAAAGTAATGTCTCTGCTTTTTAATATGCTGTGTAGGCTGGTCATAGCTTTTCTTCCAAGGAGCAAGTGTCTTTTAATTTCATGGCTGCAGTCACCATCTGCAGTGATTTTGGAGCCCTCAAAAATAAAGTCTGTCACTGTTTCCACTGTTTCCCCGTTTATTTGCCACGAAGTGATGGGACCAGATGCCATGATCTTAGTTTTCTGAATGTTGAATTTTAAGCCAGCTTTTTCACTCACCTCTTTCACTTTCATCAAGAGGCTGTTTAGTTCTTCTTCACTTTCTGCCATAGGGTGGTGTCACCTGCATATCTGAGGTTGATATTTCTCCCGGCAATGTTGATTCCAGCTTGTGCTTCATCCAGCCCGACATTTTCTCCTGGCAATGTTGATTCCAGGTTGTACTTCATCCAGCCCAGCATTTCGCATGATGTACTCTGCATATAAGTTAAATAAACAGGGTAACAGTACACAGTTTTTATGTACTCTTTTCCCAATTTGGAACCAGTCCATTGTTTCATGTCCAGTTCTAACTGTTGCTTCTTGACCTGCATACAGGTTTCACAGGAGGCAGGTAAGGTGGTCTGGTATTCCCATCTCTTTAAGAATTTTCCACAGTTTGTCATGATCCACACAGTCAAAGGCTTTGGCATCGTCAATAATGCAGAAGTAGACGTTTTCTGGCATGGTAGACCCCTGAATTTTGTGAGTTTCATCTCACCCTCTAGAGCATACTTAACTTTATCGAGGCTTCAGATTTACTA